GTATAAATATGAAAGACATTATAAGATAGTTCTCTGTTAGTAATATAAGTTAGGATAGAAAGTGAATCAGGTTCATTTTGGACTTACCAAAATAGGACAGATAATGGAATATTTTCTCTGAGTTTGTTAAATGCAAATGGACTAGACATTGTTGATTTATTTATTGCTTGTATATATTGTATATAGTTATTGTACTTATTGTATATAGTTTTTCTTATATTAGTTATAACATTTTTATTCTTTTATATTTTTATTTAAAAAAAAGGAGAAATGTGGTGATATTTTATTTGTACTGAAATGTGGTGATATTTTATTTGTATGTTAATAAATAAAGTTTGCCTGGAGATCAGAGGACATAGCCAGCCATAAACAAAAGTCAGGCAGTGGTAGCACACGCCCTTAATCCAATCACATGGCAGGCAGAGTCTCTGTGTGTTCAAGGACACAGTAGGGAACAACCAAGCATGGTGACACACACCCTTAATCCCAGTACCAACTAAAGAGACCTGGAGGTCTGTATAGACGGGCAGTGATGAGGAAGTGAGGTGGCTGGGCTAAGAGCCAATGAGAAGGCAGAACAGCAAGGCAATAAAGGTGCAGATTAGAAAGGAAGAAGCTGGTTCTCTTGGGAAGCTAAGCATGGTGAGCTAAGGTTAGCTGGTGACTCTCACTATTTCTCTGATCTCTACGGCTTTCACCCCTGTATTTGGCTCTGTGTTGCTTGTTTAATAAGACTGTTTAGAAATTCATCTACACTATACCTGGTGTGCTCTTTAGACTCTCTTCATCAATGGGTAAGATAAAGAGGAGTTGTTTCACTTAGCGTGCTTTGTTAAACAAGAGATAACTAGAGTTTGTGCTAACCTAAGCCATCATGAGACATCAGATCACTCAGGGACAGTGTGAAGAAGAAAATAAAGAACACCATAGGGAACCACAGACTTAAAGGAAAGGGAAAGTTGAGCCGGAAAACACACACACACACACACACACACACACACACACACACACACACACACACACACAAAAGGTGGTTCTTGGGAGAGTGTGGTATCATGGAACCAGAGTAGATTTCAAAGATAAAGTAGTTGTGACCAGTGTGAAATGTTGTTGACAGCGCAAATAAGGGAAGTGGGGAAAGCCTTTAGGTTTTAGGAAGGAGGACAGTGTTGACTCAGCAAGAGCAGTTTCACTGAGAAAGAGAGCAGAGAGGAGGAACAAAGGAAGGGATGGCCTTAGACCAAAAAGAGGCCTCTGTCCTGTGATAAAAGAAGTGGTATGCTATGGATATCGCTCTGTATAAACAAACACTGATTGGCCAATAGCCAGACAGGAACTATAGGCAGGACTAACAGAGAGGAGAATTGAGGAAACAGGAAGGGAAGGGGGAGACTGCCTGGAGCCGCCGCCAGGACAAGGAAGATGTAAGGTACCAATAAGCCACGAGCCATGTGGCAAAGTATAGATTAATAGAAACGGGCTAAATATAAGAGTAAGAGCTAGACAATGATAGGCCTGAGCTAATGGCCAAGCAGTTTAAATAATGTAAGAGTCTGTATGTTTATTTTATAAGTGGGCTAAGGGACTTCCAGGGCTTGGTGGGAGCTGGAGAGAAATTCTCCAGCTACAGTGGTACCTGCATATTGCAGGTCTATAATAATATAAGTCTAAGGGTTCCCTTCTGAGGATTTCTTTTCTATCCTGTGCTAAGATTTTTGAGGTCAAAACAAAAGGAGGTGTTTTTTCCCTTTCACTCTGTCTTTTATCAATATCCCTCTGATCTTTTATTTTTATTTTTATTTTTTGTTTTTTCAAGACAGAGTTTCTCTGTATAACAGCCCTGGCTGTCCTGGAACTCGCTCTGTAGAACAGGCTGCCCTTGAAACTCAGAGATCTTCCTGCCTCTGCCTCCTGAGTACTGGGACTAAAGGTGTGTGCTACCACTGCCAGACCCCCCTAATCTTATCAGCTGCACATCCAGTTTTTCCCATCTATGGATTGGAGCTAAACCATACTCATCCTGTATCTCTTCACACATGAGACCTATAGCTCAGTGCAAGGATGTGAGGGTGAAGGCAGAAATCTGGAGAGACCCTTGTTCCACCTGTAAATATGGCCCCTGTCTCTCCTCATGGACTTTACTTGGCATTTAATAAAAATTCATTTGAAGCTGAAGCTGACAAATTATCTAATTATGTTACAGAAGTTTTTTTTTAAAATGGGTTTTGTGCTTCTAGAGTAGGCTAGTGTGAAAGCAACAGTAGAATCAGGATGTGGCCCAGGATCTGGTGACATAGAGTGTGTCACTAAAGCAACTACTAGAAAGAACACTATGCTGACTTAGAGCTATTGTAATATGAATTGGCTTTTTTAAATGTAGCTCTGACTGTCTGGAACTCACTTTGTAGGCCAGGCTGGCCCCAAACTCACATAGATCCACCTGACTCTGCCTCTGGAGCACTGGGACTAAAGGTGTGTGCCACTATGCCTGGCTATAATCAGAATTTACTAATATGGAAACTAAGAGTCAACTTAGAGTTAGAACTGGTTCAAGTGAGCAGAAATAATGGGATTTAATCCTAGCTGAAATCAAAGTAACCATTTTTCTTGATGCATTGTCCATGATATCAGAGTATTGGATCTGAAGAAGGAAAGCAGATCAAGTCCAGGTTGTCCCTACTATTTGTCATGTGACGGACCTGGAGGTCATTATCTTAAGTGTAATAAGCCAGTCACAAAAAGACAAGTGCAACTGTGATCTTACTCATACGTGGAATATAAAAGTAAAAAAAACCAAAAAAACCAAAATTATTAATTGTCAATGTGACAGAATCTAGAATCACTTAGGAGATGACCTCTGGGCATGATTGTGGAAGATTATCTGAATTACTTTAATAGAAATAGGAAAGCCTCCCCACTGTGAGTGGGATCATTCCCTGACTGGGTTTCTGAGCATTTAAATGGAGAAAGTGAGCTGAGCAGTATGCATACATGCATGCATACATTGCTCTCTCATTCCAGATTATGGATATGATTCAAGTTCTTGCTGCCTTGACTTTCCTGCTATGATGTACACTAAACCACAACCTAGAACTAAAATAAACCCTCCCTTAAGTTGCTTTTGCCAGAGCATTTATCAGTGTATCACAAAAGAAACTAAGACAAAAACACAACCCAAACATAAACAAAGCCTCAAACCCAAATGTAGGCTTGACATTGATAATCATTTCACTATGTATTATTACCACAACATCAAATTTTATACTTTAAACATTTACAATTTAAAGGACAATACAAGGCAGAAGGCCCAGAAAGCAGTTTTATCAACAAGTGCAGGCACCTTTAGCCTCACTATAGTATATGGTCACATGATTGACCTGCTGGGTGAAGGAAAACTATGTAACTAGAAGCCACTGAAGCTGGAGAGATGCCTGCCTCAAATTCTGGGACTCTATTGGGAGAATTTCCCCAGATCGTATCTCCCTGTTATTTCAACTTGCTGCTGGACTTTTTTCAAAGAATCTGTGTTCTAGGGTGTCTCCTACACAAGCCCAGCCTCTGAAGGAGTCAGCGAGTATGCCTGAGGTTTCAGAGGGGTCTGCCACTTGGTCATGTCTTCCTACCCGCCTGCAGGTTTTTAGGAAGAGGAACTAATGGATTATTAATGAGACCTCCACATTTAAAAGCACACAGGAACAAACAATGATTTAAATAGGAAAAAGCTATTTAAAGTGGCATAAAACAGTGCATGTTTATTAGCACTGGAATGTTCTCAGAGTTGCTTCAGAAGGCTGCACATTATATTTGTCTGTTTCCATTGGCATCTACTGATCATGGAGAGAGCATCTACTTTACCCAATCCTATCATGTAGTTCTGATCTAAATTAGCATTTGCTTATTCAGTAAACATTTATTGTGCACTTACCATGAGCTAGGAGGTACATTTACCCTGTTACATTTAGTGCTCTGGGGATCTCCTTCCCCTATTTTTTCTTCTCTTCTTATTCTTTCTCTTTTTCTCTCTTTCCCCCTTTTCTGTTCTTCTTCCTCATCCCTCCCTCTACACACACACATACACACACACACACACACACACACACACACACACACACACACACACACAGGTTTTTTTGCACGTAAAATATTCAAACCTAGATTTACTGATCCCCCAAACCAGAAGTGTTGATGGTAACACCTGGTGATTTCCCCCTAAGACTAAGTAAATAGTTATCAGAGGCAAAGTGATTTCAGGAGGTTCTTAAGGAAACAACAAGACTTCAATATTGTGTGAAGTAATTTTAAAAGCATGGCTACTTCCGGCGTTTTGCCATATCACTATGAGGTGTGATTGAACTGCATGGACATGGACCAAGGGATTAGTGTAGTGATAGCATCTATCACATGACCATAGAGCTGGAATGAGTCTCAGTGGTCAGACCACTCAAGTCCTTCTTTCATTTTGGAGAATAATGCTTTTGTGCGTGCCTGAGTGTGTGTGTGTGAGTGTGTGTGTGTGTGTGTGTGTGTGTGTGTGTACAACACTCTCCCAAGGATATTTTTCTCATTTCCTGGGGCCAGGTAAATTTCTCATGTATATCTCTTGAGATTTCCTCTAAGATTTCTCAGAACACTATGAAAAAGAGTGGTGGCATGCACGCCCTAACACATGGCTTAACTAATTAGATGCTCTCTATCACTTTAATTGAAATATTGCCAAATGAAAACAATACTCAGTGAAAAGGGAAACATGTCTAGAACTATAATGAAAATACTGTTTCTTTCTCTTTCGTGTTGGGTAGAGAGTCATTCAAAACTATGTTTTTACACAGGATCCATTTTGGATCACTATATCTGATCTCATGCACTAGAGATACCCTCTTCTAGTATTTTCTAATGATGTTAAGAAGTGGAAAGTTTAGGGTACCAGAGAGGGTATCAAAGTCAAGAATATAGTACTTATTAGTGTGTAAGACTAATCAATGAAAGTATTCCAGCACAAGTACAATTCATAAAGGGTTTTAATAAACAGCCACTAAACATTGCACCAAAGCATTTTGAAACACAATTTCTACAGAGAGGCAAAGGTCAAGGTTCCATTTTAAATTCCTTAAGACAATCATTAACAGCCCCCCACCCCCCCATTCCTACACATCCACAAGACTACACTCTTCTAGTCATAAATTTACCTACAGACACAGTCTTAAGAATAATGGGACTGGCATGCATTATCCCAGCAATGGCAAGGAAGCAAGGGATAAGGGAAAGATGAATGAAAAGGCAACCAGCAGCTAATGACACATCCCTTAGAAGCTTTGTTCAGTGGGTGGGCAGAGAATCTGCTTGTGGTGCTACTTGTGGCTTTACTTTGGACCCTCTGGATACTCTGGACTAATTGAGCTATTCAGATCCAAAGTGGCTGGGGCTGTTGTATTAAACAGTCTCATTCCTTCAAGTCATTACTACTAGAGGTGATCTTGGGTAATGTACTGTTACCTTTCTAAAGACCTTTATAGTGTCAAACTGTCTTCATGACCCAGAGGGCCCACTGTGGCTGTGCTCATTCTAAGTTAAGAATGGCCCTGGCTTCTCAGTTATTCCTTCATTTTGGCCTTTGGAAATGGGCATAGGATATTTCTTTATTAAAGACATTTCTAAGAACTCCAGTCAAATTATTCAAACTTCTGGGACTACCTTATAAAAATTGTGTGTTTATGTCTGTTCTTTTTGCTTATATTTAAGAACAAACTGAGATTAAATGTCCTCTAATACATTATAAAATTGGTAATAAAGTTAATGATTTAACTGACTCAAAAATAAGTAGAGATATTTGTATGAATCTGCAATTCACCCTTCATTGCAATCAGCATCCAAAGTGGGTAAGAAGTCCTTGACATAATTGGAGCAAAGTGACTGAGCCTGAAAGAGGAGCACAATATGTACAATGTAGAAGGAAAAGTTTCGCTTTCTCCTGTTTGTGGCCCTTTCTTTTGAGGCAGATTTCAGCCTTCAAACATTACCAACCATCTTATTCCATCTACTATTTGACAAGTTGCATTGGCAGGGAGGTGAGTTTCTTAGATTCCTCATCTTTGAACAATTCTTTTTTTTTTTTTTTTGAGCAAACTCAAAGAAAAAAACCATATGAGTGGTCCAATGAACAATTCTTATATAGGCATTTGATCTAGATCATTTTGTGTGTATGTGTACCTTTTAAATTTGGCTTAAAAGTGTCTGTTCATTTTTTTTCCTGAAGAGTTTGCAGGCAGCCATGAATCCACAGTAAGCAATACTCAGGTGGCTATAAGGGACTCGGTGTTGTTGAGGCTTTCCTGAAGGAGACATATATTGAGATGCTACTTTCTTGAGGGGCTGACTGAAACTAGAGTAGAACCCACACTTTTAATGCAGGAATGACCCAACTAGTTCTCTCTCTCTCTCTCTCTCTCTCTCTCTCTCTCTCTCTCTCTCTCTCTCTCTCTCTCTCTCTTTTGACCATACATGTTTGACAGAGTTGAGCCTTAATTGTCTCCACTAACTTCTAAGGCAAGGAACTATTTAGGGGTCACTTCAGAAGTTTGCACAGGCTTCTTCCCATTCTACCAGTTCATATATCTAGTAGGCCTTGCTGGAGGCATGGGAGGGGCCAGATTGATAAGATTATATGAGACAGCTGGGCCTAACTCCATAGTGAGTCAGAATCATCCAATGCAGCCCAGTTAATATGCTCCTGTATCTCAACACCCTGGACTTCATACAGCCAAGGTTTCCATTAGAAAAAGTAGAGTCTCCTGTTCCTTCTTTGTTGGGCAGAGTGAAATTAAACACATGCAGTGTCCTCAGCTGGGGGAGACTGGCACACTAAGATAAGCAACTGGACAAATGGCAGTGTTTGGCTCAATCCAAGCAATGTTCAAGGGACAAGTCATTTTTCTGTTGCTACATTGTCATTGAAGTTTATAAATATGAATTGAGAAAGTGATTACACTCATCTTGGAACAGGGTTGAAAAGAAGAATCATGAAACACATAAAGGGAACCCTGGATTTTGGGTGTTTGGATGCTTCACGGGGTATACAGTGGGTGCTGTGCCACCACTATTATCTACTGTTTGCGGATCATGCCCTTGATAGCTGATTCCCGATTTACATATGTAGCCCAATAGACAAGATTGAATATGGCAAAAAGCACAGGAAAGATTATACGGGAAATTTTGTCAACCTTGCTGACACTGTTGTAGGTCTTGGTCTCAGCAGGGCTGTCCTGAACATAAGTGACCTTTGGCGAAGCAATGACTGTTGGAGTTGAAGAAGCACTGGGAACAGCACCCTTGGAGATGGTAGAGAACTCAGCATCCTTGGCCAGGTTCATAGGATAGGTGGTTCCCACGATGTTGAAAGTGGTGCTCGTTTTCTTTGTTGGGGCTGCTGGTGTTTTCTTCTAGAGCCAGAAAAAAAAGGGGGGCAATAAAATAAAAGATGATGAATTCATTGTACAAAGTACTTTTGGAGAGTGCAGGGAGAAAGATCCATGAGGGGCATTAAAGAACCTACTAAGTAGTAGGTTTGTATATAGAGAGGTTTTCTATTTGGAAAACAGAAACCTGCATGTACCATTTGAACTATCCTAGTCAGTCCCAACTGTTACCTTGAGAATAGAGTCTCAATCAAGGGATTGCCCACATGAGGGTTGGTTTTATTTTTGGGGGGGAGGGTATGTCTGTGGGGACTTTTCTTGATTGTTGATGTAGATGGGTCTAGATAACTGTGGGCATCACTATTATTTAGGCAGGTGGTACTAGACTATATAAGAAAGCTATGTAAGCATGAGCCTTCAGATTAGCCAGCAAGCAGCATTCCTCTGAAGTTTTTGTTTCAAGTTTTTGCTTGAGTCCCTGCCCCAGCTTCCCTCAATGATGGGAAGTAATGTAATGACGTAGTAATGTAAACCAAATCAACCCTTTCCTCTTGTTTTTAGTCAGTGTTTTAACACAGCAACAGAAAGGAAACTAGAAAATTCTAGCTAAGTGTCTTTGGATAAATCACTCCTCCTGTGAGCTTCAGTTTCTTCATTTGTAAACTGAAGGTGAAAATAGCTGGCAGATTATTGAGAGGATGAGAGGAGAGAATGGCAGTGGGAATTACTAGGAAATGTGAGATTTTATAGATTGCATGATTTCATCCTTCACAATAACCATGTGAAGTAGGTGACATTATTCACACTTAATATGTAAGTCAGCTTCAGATTAAATGGCAGAACACATACTATCAATCTGAGTTCCTGACTTCTGTCCATAGATACACTGTGCTGCTTTCTATAGCACAAGATACTCTTGGTTACCCGAGGAAAAAAAATCCAAAAAGACTGCTGCCATCAAGGGGCACATATCCTGTGAAGAAGAGAGCTTGGTGAATCTGCAAAGTCATTCTGTCTTAAACATCATAATAAATACGATGGAATGTTTACATGCATTATCACAACAGCATGCTGACCTCATGCACTATAAAGGTACTTAGCAAAGTAGGGGATGTACAAAGGGTATCCACTCTTTCAGGGCTGCTAGCAGGAGCTACAGCTTCCCCACAGAGCTGAAGAAACACCTCTTCTGATACAGCAAAAGTAAAGACAGCAGGAAGCTTGCCATGGCATTGCCCTTTGGGAGATTGTTTCCCCAACATAAACTATCCTGAAAACACAGTAAAAAGTGCTCCCCCTTTCTCTTTCCACATAAAAGTGCTCATGTATATGTGGTGCCACATAGGTCTGGATTGGAACAGAGATGCTGCATGGCATGGTGACCAAAGGAGCAAGCTAGCTCCTAACTGCAGCCCAAGGCAGTGGCCTAGTTCAAGATGTAAAAACTCTTCCCATGTCTTCGCTTCAGCTCTTCTTCAGATACCTCAATCTCTTTCTTGATGCTTCTCAGAATTAACTTCTTTACTCTCCCAGTTCCTTACTTGTTTCCTTACTAAGTTTCTCTGTTCCTGCTTTCTTTTATAGCTCCTTTCTCCTCATCTCCCTTTTCTTCCTCCAAAGTTAAATCACAGTACCATTTCCTTTCCTGATCCAAATAATCACCTTTGTACATTTATTGAATATCAACAGGGCCAAAACATACGCTAGATATTTAGGGTTAAGTGGAAAAATTAGAATTTATACTTCAGTCCCTTTCTCCCAAGGTGCTCACAGCCTATTGTTGAAGAGAACCCTGTGAACACATGATTGTCATAATGTGTATCCTGGGTCCTGTTTTGAGTAAAGTGTTATCAGTGTGCCTGCAGGTGTGGGAAAGGCAGCTCAAGAAGGCTGTGAGGTTTCCAGTCTGAGTTGAACAGTAAAAAATAACCCAATTTAAAAATGATCTTCTTGTGGGCCTTCTAACAGTGGGGGCAGGGGCTGTCTCTGACTCTTTTACTGGCTTTTGTTACTATATTCCTCATACTGGGTCACCTTGCCCAGTCTTAACACATGGAGAGGTGCTTAGTCTCACTGCAACTTGAAATGCCATGTTTTGTTAATATCCATGGGAGGCCTGACCTTTCCTGAACAAAAGAGGAGTAGATTTGGAGGGTAGAAAGAAAAGGGGTGGGGAAAGGGACTGGGAAGAAAGGAGGGAGGGGAAACTATGGGCAGGATGTAAAATAAATAAAAAAATAGTTGAGCAGGAGTCACCAAATGATAATGCAGCAAAGGCCAGTGCACAGGCCTAGAACACTGTTGGAGGATGGCAAGGAGTTTGCTGTGGCTGAATCATAGTAAGCACAACAAACAAATTGTAAGAACTGAAGGTGCAGATGGTGATTACCCTGTTGTCCCAGAGATCCTTCACCCAGTGACTGGTGGAGGCAGGTTCAGAGACCCATGACCAAACATTGGGCTCAGGGGACCCCTGCTGAGGAGAGGAAAGAGTGATTGTAGGAGCCAGGGGGGTCAGGGACATCAGAGGAAAACCCACACAAAAGACTAGCCTGGTTCATGGGAACCTGTTCCTCATGCTGGATTGCCTTGCTCAGCCTGAATACAGGGGCTACATGCCCTTGGTCTTATGGCAGCTTGATATGCCATGTTTTGCTGCTGCCCATGGGAGAACTGCCTTTTTCTGAATAAGGAGGAGGGGTGGATTAGGAGGGGGACCAGAGGGCTGGTGAGCTAGGGAGTGGGAGGGGAGGAGTGAGGGGAGGCTGTGGTCAGGGTGTAAAATAAATAATTAATTTTTAAAAAGAAAATGCCAAATCTTAAAAGGCCTTGTGTACCACATTCTGCCTGCCTATGTTGACATTCAGCATTCTCAGTCAGGGGCAGGGAGTGTTGGAAATGAGGGGTGGGAGAATGTGCAAGATAAGGGGGTATTCATTTAAGTAAATAAACAGTCTGACTAATAGGACATTTCAAAAGCAATACTTTTCTTCTTTGTTAGATTGTAGTCACATACAAGCAGAAGGGATACAAAACTCAAAACCTTCTAAGAACCTTATAAATACTTTAAATACTACATGAGGCTCATTTATAATTAGCAAAGCCATTGTGTGAATAGAGTCCCACTGCTAAATGCCTTTGCTATTAAATAAAATAGTGCTTTACTTGTTTGCCTGCTTATTAACTTGCTTAGTCATTTTTCCATGGTTAGACAAAAAAAAGCCAAAAAAAAAAGAAAGTGAAGAAAACTTTACACTGACTTTGCTAAAAGCTTTTGCATGTCATTTCATTTAGTCATCTTATAAGCTGGTTATGACTAGGTCTTTGAAACAATCACTTGGGACAACAAACACTTTCTTTACCTCCACAGCCACTTTATGTTCTATAAGTGAAGAGAAGCAGCAGGTGTTTTAATCACAGACTATTTAAATAGTAAAGTAAAATTACCTTTTAGTTTCTCACATCATTTCCAATATGACATTTTAATCACTATTATATTCCTACCTGTATTGTCAAAAAGAAATGAAATTGAATGTTACAGCATAGAGCAGGATGCAGAGAAGTTGTTCTTCAATGAGTAGAGAATTTTAAGTGTTAGAGATGAAAAGTATTCTTGAGATTAACTGTGAGTGTGCTTAACGTTATTGAATCACACACTTAATTGTTTGAAAATACATGGGTGGGAAGGAGATAAGAAGTGAGGGTGAGAGTAATCAGAATGCACTGTATACATATATAAAATTATCAAAAAACAAATTTAATTAATAAATTACCATAATTTAAATGTCATACATCTATATGTGATAGTTTTAATTGTCAACTTGGCACAATCTGGAATGGCTTGGGAAGATAAACTCAATGAGAGATTTTCTATATCAGGTTACTCCATGGGCAATCTGTGGATAATTGTCCATTTTGTTAATTGATGTGGGAATACCCACCCTAAAAGTGGGTGGCACCATTCTCTAGGCTTGGGTCCTAAATTGTTTTACAGTACAGAAAATGAACTGAGCAGTAGGTATGCATGCATTCATTTCTCCCTGCTCTCAACTGTGAGTGGGATTGGCAGCTTCAAGATTTTGTCCCTTTACTATCCTCTAGTGCTGGGCTGTAACCTGAAATTGTGAACTAACTAGGACATACACCTGCATTTATTTAAGTAACAAAATGAACCATATTGCTCTAATCAGAACTACCTAATTTTAACTACATATGCTTTGTTGCTTATGATAGTTACTTTACATAACACATTTGTATATGAAAAAATCATATAATGAATCAAAGACCTTCCTCTCAGAAAAATCAGAGAGAGAACTTAGAAAGAAAGATGAATTACAAGAGACAATTTGGGGATGGGGAAATAGTTCAGTGAGACCAGAGTTAGTCCTGCTACCACTCCTGTGAAAACTGGGTGTGGCAGTTCACAAACAAGACAGAAATCCTAGTGCTGGGAGGGCTGGCAGGAGAGTCCCTGTAGCTTGCTGGCAGACAGTCTGTTTGAATTGGTAATGTATTGGATCAGTGATAGACTCTGTCTCAAAAACTGAGATAAAGAATGATAGAGAAAGGCAGATCAACTTACAGGGATCAATTAATCCTACAGAAAGGAAAGAAAATTCAGATGGAAGGCCAGCTTCCTAAAAGAATGAGAGTTATCTAAAGAATACATGGGAAATTATCCAGGTTCAAGTTACAGCTTAGAAGGAAAGAATGGAAGGGATTCAGATACTACCAGTCTTTTGAGGAGAAGAAAGAAACACAAGAAATTGAGGTAAATGTCGTATAATGGTTTCCATACTCCATAGAAAGACGGTAAAATAAATATTTAAAATTTAAATTAAGAGGCTAAAGATATGGCTCAGTGGTTTAGAAAGCTAACTATGCTTGCAGAAGACCCAAGTTCAGTTCCCAGTACTCAAATCAAACAGTTAGTTTACAACTGCCTGTAACTCCAGCTCCAGGGGAACCAATACACTCTGCAGTACAGGCCTCTACAAGCAGTGCACACACATGTGTACACACAC